ATTCTGAGTGCCATGGTAGCTTGTTGGGTAACACCATCGCTTTATACCTCCTGAAGCAGTGTTTCAGACCCTAACCCTCTTTGTTTGTAATTTGCAGTTTTGTCGTTCTGTCAAAAACCGTGCAGACAGGTGAGTCTGTGTCCCTCAGTCCGACGTGTTCTCCTGCCTTGCGCTCTATGCTTCCTGGGTCACCATGAGCAAGTAGTATAGATGAGGGGTGGTTTTCTTTAAATTTTGTAGGTGGTGCTTTAATTTGTGGAAAATGGAGCAGTCACATGCTACCGGCTAGGGAAACTCCCAGTTCTGCCCTTTGAGGTCTTGTTCACCTTGAGTTCTAGTGACGCGATGATGGCTGTGCTTTGTGCATGAGTGTCATCGTAGTGTCCCTTTGGTGAGTGCCATGTAGCACTCCACAGTGGTCTTCCTGCTTGACTCGGCACACAAGACACATGGCAGCTCTGTTTCCAATCTCACTTTCTGGGTTCTAGATTTGTCGTGCTTGTTCAGACTCACATCGCTATGTACCAACTCTGGGAAATGTAATTAAGTAACTAAATAAAAATGCTGGAGAATTGAAATAAGCCCTGGTCCTGATGGGTGTTAAACAGCATTGCATTGGACAGAAAAAATACTTCTTATATACAAATGGGAGATGGGGGTTTGTTTTGTAGAGTATTCTTCACTCATTGTGGAATGACCATGTTTTTCAGTATAAAATAAAAAAAATTATGGATACGCAAGTAACACAAAGATAAAAAGTATCACTGGGATTGACAATGTAGTTTTTTTTCTTCTGAAGCCGACAAAAGTTTTGAATATCTGAAATATCTGATAATGAGTGAAGTGAATTCAGGAGTAGTCTCAACTAAAGTCCTATATTGTTCTGGCCGACAGCCGTCCCTTTGGACGAGACTTGGCGAGGCACAGTGACAGATAAAATGCCAGGTGAAGCCAGAGTGATTTTCGCTTCCAAGTGGGGCTGAAATTCATGGGTACTGGGGAAAATGACCACCTCTGATTTTGGGAAGAGGCCCGTCTTACCACAGAGATTAAAAAAAAGCTGCATTTCAAATGAGTTTAGGGCATGCACTACAAGAGAAGTGCCTTTTCCAGGGACCTGGACTGTGTCTGGGTAAGTGAATGGGATGTTCATTGCATATCTGCATAGGAAAAACAAACATGCTTACCACTCTGACCTTGTGGGGACCCAGGGTACTGTAACCAGAGCTCGTAAATTCCTTGGACATCGTCCCCAAATAACAGGGCTTGTATGATTAACACAGCGCACGATTCAGGTGTATTTGATTAGGACTATTACCAGACATTCATTACCATTATTGCCAATTAATGGTACCTTCTGTTGCCTGCAGTGCTTGGCATTCTCAGGAGGCATAAGGGAAGAAGTTCACTTGAAACAAATGCAGAGTTAGACGCCTTAAAGCTAAACCCCCTTCTGCACCAGTCATTGAGCAGACATGTTGAAAAATCCTCATCTTCCCCCTTTGTAGCATTTATTCGCAGACCTAATTCCACTTGGGTTAAACCTAATCACTCCTGATCTTTTTCTTTGAATGCTTTAAATCCCTCTGACATGAGATGTCTGTTATTGCATAGTTTTGCTCCAGTTTGAGGTGACCAGCATGTCATCATTGGCTGCCTTGTTTGACTCCATTAAACATTCCAGTTTACCATCAAGTGGTGAATCTTGGCAAATGCTTTTGTCAAAACGTTTTTTTTGCATGCTTCAGAATATCCAACCATTTTATTTCATGTCTTTTATATATAGTCAGGAATTCTGAATGCAAAACAAACATTTAAATGTTTAAATTTAAAACAGATTAGATTTTAGTAAAGACAAGCTGTACTTTACCCTGGAATCTTCAGTGCAGAGCGTCAGTTCAGACAGCCATTGATTTATGGTACTTTCCTCATTATTGCATTAATGACACAAATGTAGTGAAGGGGGTGAGAAGGGGAGTAGGATGAAAAGAGTGCCAAAGGAACACAGGATAGACAGATTGGCAGGAAAAGAGTAAGAATGGATATGTGCAAGGAGAAAGAACTCATGAACAAGAAAACGGAAATAAAAGGTTAACATTAAGAACTGTAGATGAGCAAAAGAAGTGACCATTTTTATCCTTAAATCCTTAATATACAGTACCAGTCAAAAATTTGGACACACCTACACATAGGTTTATTTGTACTATTCTCTACATTTTTGAATGATTATAAAGACATCAAAACTATAAAATAACATACAGAAAAAGCTACAGAAAAAAATTAAGAGACCACAGCACAATTTTTAGTTTCACTCATGTATGAATTTATTGATGTGCATCTGTGGAAAAAAAAGGGATTTTTTTTCCTGCAAACTCCAGCCTGGTTCTTCTCTGTTTCTCATTAATGAAGGGCTTCTTCCTTGCTTTATTGGACTTCAGTCCTGCTTCTAGGAGCCTGATACAAACTATCCTAGCAGCGTACTTTGCACCTGCACGTAATGTTTCCCATTTCTTTTGAAGGTCACTTGATGTCCTACAATTCATGTGAAACTGTTGGATAAGTTAACGATGGTCTCAGACATTAGAATGTCACTTCTGCCCTTTACCTGGCTGGTTTCTGCTCGTTCCCAATGTCTCCTGCTTCACCTTGTTCTTGTATACTGCTGTTTTAAAAACCTGGAAGGATCCTGCTGCTCAATCTTCTGCCAACAGAACCACAATTAAACCAGGATTTAAAAATGAAGATTTTTTTTTAAATATAAGAACATAAGAACTATACAAACGAGAGGAGACCATTCGGCCCATCGAGCTCGCTTGGGGAGAACTTAACTAATAGCTCAGATTTAAAGTAACCCAAGGATTCAGCTTGCACTATGTTATCAGGAAGACTATTCCATA